ATATAGCCTTGCAGTCTCCAGTGATGGCCGCTTATGGCTAAAAATGCTTTTCTTAACCTAATGATAAATATTTTTTCCTAAGAAAATAACTGAAAACATAGCTGACCTTTAGAAATTCTCAACTGTCTACTTTCTCATAGGCAACGTTACCACTAATGTTTTAAGTAATGGAAATATCGTGTTAGGAAATGATGACACATAATATAATCAAAAGCATGTTTATACATGTGAGCCTGATTTCTTTCATTTATGAGTATGGTCTTCAGTTGCATCCATTTACCTATAAAAGCCTCGAGTTTATCTTTCTTTCTAGCTCAGTGCTATTCCTTTTTATAAAAATATCACATCTCTTTTATCCATTCCTCAGTAAACCTCGTGTTGTCTCTCTACTGTAAGAACCTGAAAGAGTAAATAAAATGTGAAAGGTACAACAGACAGTGTGAAAGGGAAAGAAAATGCTCAAAAGGAAAGAGCAACTGGGATGAGGGAAAGAACGAAAAAAAGGAAGAGGGGAAAAATATATATATACACACACACAAGATAGCTAATATAATTGTATTACTAATTTCTAGTGGTTTATGGAAAGAAACAGTTAATGTTTAATTGTTTGATCAATCTTACATGCTTGTATCTGTTTATCTGAGTAACCAACCTGAAGATAACGATATGTAATACAACAACCATTGTTAATTTCCTATCAACTTGCTTGAAATTCTGTATCATTTTTATTGTTTTTGTGTTGTTTTGTTTATGTCTTTCTTTTCGTTATTTTTTGTTTTTTCTATGTACAATAAAGAAATTTGAAAAAAATCAAAAGCATGCATGCTCCCATTGCAGAAAAGAAGTTCTTAATTCTTTCGTGTTTTTGTTAATGAAAGATGTTAAATTAGAGATTATCTGGAAGGGTAGTAATCAGAAACAAGAACATGCTGTCTAGTCTGAAGGATATTATCCTAAGAAAGTATTAAGTAAGACGCAGATGATGATGAATTGTGTAACTCATATGTTCTTGTGGAAGCGAATAATACTGAAAAAGGTAAATTTTAAAAATTCAGCTATGTCTTCCCTTGCTAGTAATATTTTATAAAATCCTGTGTTCTCTAAACGACTCATGTTTCAAGTTGAATTTGCCCTTTTTGAACAAGTAGTTTCTAGTGGTTCAAAGAGCAGTAAAAGACAAAAAACCTTACCCAATTATTCACACTACCCAGGGTCCTTATCTCTTTCTTAAGGCTTTTCCCCACTGTGTATGTTAACTAAATCTCCATGAAAATTTCTAGTGAAGGCAATGGCTTGGAAAGCACCATGGGCATTCACATTACTTCCACATGAATTCCATCCTTCATTCCTGCTCAAGGGAGCACGTTCATCCTGTACCCACAAATAGGCTGTGACAAAAATAACGCTGGTGACCTGCTGCCCGTTATCTTCTTACTGGAGCAGGATCAGGCCCTGGTAGCTTCTTCTAATATACACCAAGTCTCCAGATCAGATCCTGTATCATACCGAGTTTCACCTTCACCAGACAATTCTCACCTGCCAGGGACCTAATAAAGCTTTCAGGGAAGGCTGTAGGACGTGCAAGCAGCTGTGGAGACTCTAGGACAAATAATTCTGAATTGTGCACTAACTACATCTTTATTTTGATCTTGTGGTGCTGCTGGGGACTGAACTGAAGGCCTTGCACATGCTAGACAAGCATTCTACCACTGAGCTACATTCCCAGCCCCAACTGCACATTTTAAAGGCACAAAGAACCCGAACCTTGTTGTGTTTAGTGCTATTAGTGACACGGGAGTGTCATTTTCTGTGCATTTTACTATATTACATTTTAGGAAGCAACATCCTTAAATCAACTAAAACTTGTGTTAATGACTACATCTGACAGATACTACAATTTTAACTCTTTCATGTTTTTAATGTTGTAAATCAGTTTAAAAGTTTTAAAAGGATTTACCAAGAGCAGAAATATATGAGCTTCCTGAAGCCACAAACCATCTTATTAAAAATACTGTGGGAAGAATTTCAACCAAACACTAATCAAGACAAACTGATGAGGGCAAAACCCATGTCTGGTCAATATACCGGGTTACAAGACAGGTTACCAGGGGCTGGGAATTTAGCTCAGCGGCAAAGCGCCTGCCTGGCAAGCGCAAGGTCGTGAGTTCAGTTCCCGGTACCGGAGAAAAACCAAAAAAAAAGACAGGTTACCAGCAACTAATCCTAACAACACTCACTCACTGTGCATTGCCTTTGCACCAAGTACCACTCTATGGCCCTTCTTATATGAACTCATTTCTTCTCCGTAATTATCAGCCCATTAATTAGGATCCCCATTTCACAGGTGAGAAGGTGGAGGCACAGGAACAGTGAAGACGGGGGTCCTACAAGACAATAAGCACCTCCCGCTAGTGAGTGGGGGAGCCAGGCCGGAACCCTGGGATCTGAGCTGTTCTGTCAAAGTGGCCTCTGTATCCTGTTCCTAACAAAACCCACGCCCAGTGTGGACTTAGGTTAAAGACGGAGGTGGCAAGGGGTTTCATGAGATTCCTTTATTTGATGCTTTGCTACTAGATTATTTTTAAGCAAACACATACTACATTCTCTTTACCAAGCGGGCCAAAGCTGTGTATGGTTTACTTGTAGGCCCAGTCACAGACTGCACTTGGGAGCGAAGAAAATTCTCACAGGACAACCACATTAGTTTCTTAGGGCTGCCAACACGAAGTACCATAAAGTGCGCGGCTCTGAAGAACAGACACCGTTTGTGGGTCCTAGGGGTCAGAAATCTGAAGTCAAGGCGTGAGCAGGGCCCTGCATTCCCTGAAGGTGTTAGGGAAGGATCTGTTCCAGACCTCTCTCCCAGCTTCTGTTTGTTTATTTGGTTTTTTGTGGTGCTGGGGCTTGAACCCAGGGCCTGTGAATGCTAGGCAAGTGCTTGACCTCTGAGCTATGCCCCTGGCGGCTCTCCTAGCCTGGACAGCCCTGGGCTTGCGGCAGTGCAATGCCAATTTTCACACCATCTTCTCTTTGTGTGTCTGTCTGTCTCTAAGTCCACATTTCTCTCTTTTAATAAAGCACAAGTCATATGACATTAGGGCCCCCTCATGCCTCCATTTTACCTCTGGTCCCTCTGCAGAGATCCTGTTTCTAAATCAGATCACATTCTGAGGTACTGGGGAACAGAAAGCCACCAGCTCATCTTTTTGAGCGGATACAAGTCAACACAGAACAATGACGAAAACAGCGAATTTGGAGTTTTGGAATAAACTAAGCAGATTTGCAAATAACAATGAAGAGGACGTGAAGTTCATCAAGTTTATAAAAGGTCTTAGAAAACACCTCACAGAACGGTAGCGAGAGCTGCAACCACTGATCGAAAGTTTATAATACTGAAACACATCATTTCTTCATTCAAAATAATGGTAAGTGCCATTACTTATCATTACTTAGCTGGTGATTTTCCTGACTTTGCTTACCTGCTGGGAGTTCTACCTGACAAGGGCAACATGGAAGAACAGGAATGGTTAGTAATCATAGCCATAATGGTTTACACTTTTAAATTTGCTTGCAAAGCTATTTCATTTTCAATTTGTTTACATCCATGTTTTTTACACTAACTACCTATTTTAAGGGTCGTTTTAAGTCGGCAGATAATTCAAAATGACCTTCAGGATACCCTAGGTTTGCTCCCATCCTTAATTACAATTTCCATCGTAAAAGTATAAATTTCTGGTGGGAGAACCATGTTATTCCACTTTGTAGTAAGCACCATAGTCATAAACCCTATGTCCACTCCATTTTTTTTTTGAAAGCTGTAACAAATAGCGTTCCAACCAAATGTGCACACGCTCCAATGCCTACTCTTCCTCACTGATTGTGTATTCTTAAATTAGACTGATGGTTGCTTGGTATGAATTTTGATAGAAGGTACAATTTATTTCTGGAGACCGAGGGAAGAAATATACTTTATGTGTTATAGAAACACACTGTTAGAACACACTGTTGCACTTCAGTATGGAATCACAAGCACAGACAGCACGGGACATGACATTTCATACAAAGGCTGCTGCTCAGTTCTTGGCATCCAGCAAACATCAGTAAGTCCTAGCCCATCGGTAGGAACACACGGTGTAAGACGGAGATCAAACTTGCCCATTCCCAGGTGTCTATGTTTCTGCTTATTAGAAAGTCCTATATAAAATTTCAAACAATTAAACCTCACTAAAAAACAATATTGCAACTGAATACTGGTTATGTTAGAGAGGAAAGTGTTAATATACATGTCAGATACTTAAAACACATATGGTCTGGTGAATCTTGATAGTTCTTTGCAGCAAGGTACTAAGAAACTTAAAAACAAAATTGGGGCTTTCTGACTGACTGAAAATACTAGGCATTTATTACAGTTGTCTAACACAAAGGAACCACACATTTGGTCCCTCTGTTTAGGTTCACACTGTTGCAGGGAGCAGTTTTAGATGCTGTGCAGTATCAGGAATGTCTCTGGAGTACATCCCAGAGGTGGCACAAGTATGGTATTTTAGGAACTAAGCTGTCTCAGGGAAAGCCCTGGCATAGAGGAAGCAGCCGAGGAAGTGGAATCAGGCAGACATGCCTTGACTCCTAATGGCAAACTGACTAGTTATGCGATCGACCTTCTTAAGGTTCACTTTCTTCATTTGTAAAATTGGTTTAGGGACTACTGTGTGAGCTAGGGAATACATGTACAAGTATGCTCCGTCTGGCACAGTGGCTAATGTTCAATAAACAGCAGAGGTATTATTAGGATAAGCTTTGTTCTGGAACTAAAATAAACAGCTCTGGAAACTAATGTAATTGAAGTGCAACATTATCTTTGCTTTTCCAGGCTTAGGAGTGGATTTGGAATATACCTGCACCCAAACGAGGGGCTATAAAATAACATGATATATTAGGTAAGAAGAAAGATGTAAAAGTCAGTGCAAGGAAAGCCAGCACGAGGAAATGCTGGAGCTTACGTCGCTCTTCTCTGTGCCTCTCCGTCTCTGCAAAGTACTGGCGGAGCTCGTCGGTGATTTCCATATTGCTCAGGTCATATTCTATCTCATCATCTGACTCCATCTCGACCTCCTCCTCTTCCAACAAAGCTTGGTCTTTTCTGGTGGGGGGCCGGATCCTACTGCTGTCACGAAGAGGCCGCCCAGACCTTCTGTCACGGGAATAACTACAGTGGGCATCCTGCCAGGCCTTGTGATGGTCATAGGACCGAGGATATCCAGCACTGTTACCGTAAGAGGCTTGGGGAGCAACTGCATTTGGGAAGTACCACGGGAAACTGAAGTAGGCTCCCACGGCCTTCCTGTAGGCGATCTGGTGGTTTCGCATCCAAGCCATGGCTTGACGATAATGGTGCCAGTATCTTCCATATACTGGATGAGAATACCAAAACATGGCAGCTTTCGATGTTGACATCTACAATATAAAGGGAAGCACAGGTCAGCCACCAAAGGGTTCATCCTCAACAGATGTTCCAATGTCTCATTGACTAACCAACAGATATTTACTGAGAATCTACTAAATCCCTATTCTACTAAGAATGCCAGTGGGGTGAAAAAGGTGTAAGACAGATCTGTACTCATGATACAGAAACTAAGCACATGCACACTTGCTCTCTATGTGTACATCAGTTACACACAGGACAATTTATTTAAGGCTCTAGAGCCTTATAATGAGGACAGATGCTAATAATGATTGTTTTTAGATAAGATTCAAGGGATGATAAAAGATCTCATGTTTATTGTCTTGGCCATCTTTACTAGTTCCAAGTTGGGAATGGGCTGTCAATTCTAAAAGACTGTGATAGCCTTTGGTTCCTCCCCTTCTGCTCCCTAAGATGACCTGCTGGCCCAGTCCAGCTTTCAATGTCTGGGACAAGAGTTGTCTAGTAATACACTTGATAATGCTTTTTTAGTTTTCTGATGTACAGGTTGAATATGCCTTATCCAAAATGCTTGGGGCCACATGCATTTCTGTTGTAGTGAGGGTTTGCAAGGGAACAGATTTAATACAGGACACACAATTTATAGGATTATTTTATAATAGCCACCCAAAAAATCAAATCCAGAAGAGTGCGGGAGATCTGTCCACACACTAGAGACCCAGAGAATCTAGCTGAGGGCCTGGATCCCATGGCAATGTCCTGCACGAGTCCAGCTGAAGACCCAGAGCCCACAGCAATGTCCTCCACGAGTCCACTTGGAGACCTAGAGCCCATGACAAAGTCTCATCCAAGTCTGTATCAAGGACCTGCACTGGGAAGACCCAAAGGCCAGTAGTAGAAGCTAGAAAGTCTGTGCCAATGGAATGAAGGATCTGTGCCAGCAGGCTGAGGGATCTGCACTGGAGCCAGGAAGTGATGCTCAAGGTGAGGACCAGAGCTCCTCCGAAGAGAACAGCAGCCCCCAGTGACAGCAAGGACCGGGGCTCCTCTGATGATAACAGCTGAGTTCCTATCAGCAAAACCAGTGCAATAAGCTTTTCCAGGAGAATCAGCAGCACCCCATCTTTGCCTCCAGTTCTCCCTTTGTGCTGTTGGCAACAATCCTCAGTGGGCCTTCTACACCCAGAACCATTCTGACTCAGTTCAGCGGGGTGTCCAGGCTAACCATTAGTTAATCCACCCCAATTTTAAATTTCAGTAATCTTGTAGATTTTGGAATGCTTGCATACACTTTCATTGGTTGAGCATTCGTGATCTGAAAATCCAAAATGTGAAATGTTCCAAAATCTGAAACCTTTTGAAAGTCATGTCAGAGCTCTAAAAGTTTTGGATTTTGGATCATTTTGTATACTTGGGTTTGTGATACTCAACCTGAACTTGTTCAACCTTCACCACCATGGAATGAGAACATCAAGAATTTAAAGACTAAATTTTTCTGAACTCATAAGACAAAAGGCAATCTTACCTTTGTGGCCATCTCTGATGGTGAAAGTCCAGATGGGCTCGCAAACTAGGAAAGAAGAACCACGGGGTGAACATCTGATGAGTATGTCTGTGGGATACTCGTGGCTATTTTACAAATTTCAAAGCAGTTTGTAAGAGGCTGCCTCTTCCTAGAACCACACCCAGTCTGCATGCAACACTTCAGGAGACCCTGGCACCTGCGCCAGGAGCACAAGATCTGAAAAGGAGGCAATCCTGTAGGCATGAATGAGTAATTCAAACAAAGGACTCTTACGCTTTACTTGTTTTCCTGTTGCAAGTAAAGCTGATGACTATAACCACATAAATATTTGGCAGTTAGTATGTTTATACAAAAGCAGTATACAGATCATGAATTAAACTATTACCTTATTTACTAGTCCTTAACACATCAATGCCTACACAAATTAACCCTGGAGACCTCTGTTGGGTCTTGCCTTAGATCTGGGTCTTGCAGAAGCCTTTGCTGTTGTTGTTTTGCAGTCCCGGGCATGGAACTCAGGGTCTCACGCATGCTGAGTAAGTGCTCTGCTATTGAGCTACATCCCCAGCCCCCATCTTTTTATTTTTGGTACTGTGAATTGAACCCAGGGCCTTTACATTGAGTTATACCTCCAGTCCTGGTCTTGAACGTGTAATTCTCTTGCACTGCACCCAGCTTTGCAGAAGCCTCTTTAAACAAAAACATCTTTCCAGGCTCAGGTGTGCTTGGGGCTTTAAGTTCCCCAAAAGGCCCTTGTTTTGGCTTTGATCGACTTGGTTTTGATTTCAGACAGTGAGTGCTACCAGTCACCTGGCCTAACAGTCCTTCCTGTGTCTTTGCAGAAGAAACAATTCTACTGCAAACCTTCCTGAGGCATGACACAGGCTGCCCCGCCAACAGCACTGCTCTGCCAGAATTCACTCTTTCCCTACCACCTACCTACCTGTCGTGACTGACTGACTCACTGAATGAAATCCCTAAAGGTAAAGTCTAATCTGGAGCTGCGTACCTTTTATAACCTATTTAAACAGACTTAAGTTTTCTCCTGTTCAGAGCTTCAAAGCTACTAAATAGCAGCCCAAACCAGAATGTACTTAAATAAGAGTTAAACAAAAACAATACCCTAAAAAGCATGCAAATCTAAGCTTTAATGAGACAGAAGCACTAACAATGCAATGCCAAGCAAACAGCTACTTAGGTTTTAAGCTTTGGAATTTGGATACTGAAGGAATCCTGCTTTTCCTTAACTGCAGAGTGGAATTAAAAAATCTCTAACCTTTAAGAAATACATTTGACATTTTGAAATTTTTACCAGATGTTTTCACATGGTCACGTTAAAAATTGAGATGTTAAACTGACCACTTCACCTTTTAAAATTTAGCCTAAAGATGCTGGGTGTGGTGGCTCATGCCTATAATCCCAGCATTCGGGAGGCTGAGGCAGGAGGGCTGTTGTGAGTTCAAGGCCAGCCTGGCTACATAGTGAGTTGTGAGACCCTGTCTCAAAAAACAAAAATAAACAAACTCATTAATTAAAAAATTTAGCCTAAAGAGAAACATTCACATTCTTTTTAAATGTAACAAGCTTTCAAATAGGGTATTTCTAAGAAGGCTGATATGACCTGGAAATTTATCTTCACAGCCAATACCTCCTGTTTCCTGTCCTAAATTCAGAATATGTACACCTGCAGTGAATATAAATGGGAAAAAAGTTACCAAATGCAGTGAAAAGTATAAATTCAGTTCACATTACCTTTGAACTACAACTTAAAGGATTAAAACATGAACACCTACCTGAAAACCTAGCTAACTGCCCTATGCTTTACCGGCTATTGAAGAAATACAAAATAGTCAATATTTGGGTGCTTTGACACCCAGATACAACAAGCACAAAGGAAATAATAGCAGAAATCAGTACACACTTGAGTGCTAAACTGGAAGGTGCTGCCTTTAAGTGGCTAATTCACTAGAGCCAGGTTTCATATTTCTAACACTGAAATTTGAATAGCTTTTGGAGAGTCTGCTGTACATAATGGTGTGACAGTGAACTCCATGTGTGTGCTAATCAAGTTTTGTATAGATTAACAAAGAGCATATGGATTAACTTACAAAAGTGTAGGAGACATCTGTGTGGCTTCTGGAAATTAAGAGTTTGGAATCCAGACTCCTTGCTATGCCTTAGAAGTCACTATGCCTAGTTAGAACTAGGTCAATCATCTGGAACTGGGAAGTCTGATAGGCTCACGTCTGTAATAAACACTACAGTGACGAAACACAGCTGTGGACCAAATCCCACTATTACTGTAAGTGGGAAAATTCAGCCTGGCACTAAAGGTCCACATAGCACCAACATTCTGACAATCCACAGGGTGGTTGAGAGAGGTTCTTTTGGCAGAGCCAGAGGTTTAGGTGCTTGTGATAAAGTAGATGACCACTGAAGGGGTTCAAGAATAATTCATGATGTTCTCCTGGCTGCTCAAATGTCAATGGTTGTGATTAAAAAGAGGGAATGACTGTCAATTTGAGGAAAAGCTGCTTATGACTTTGGTTGAACTAATAATTTGGTACAAGGGCTGCCATGATACACCACTGAGAGATCACCCAGTGCTCACTCGGAGCAGTTTTGCAAACAAGAGGCAGGGAAACCAGCAGACATGCCTGAAGAAAGTCAGTTCCAGCCCTTGGACCCACAGCAGTTCAGTTCTATCTATAAGATACAAAGGCAGCAGCATTCACTGTATGTATGATCACACTTCGTAAAGACCTAAGAGAAGACTTCCAGAACTGCTTCAGAAAGTGGTAAGAATGATGGGATAGGTTCAAAGGGAAGGGGTTAATGGCAGTGTGTCTTTTAACATAATAAATATTTTAAATTTAAACCTCCACCATATATTCTGATTGCTTTGAATCACTGATTTGAATATACAAGTCAATGTCTCAAAAATCCAATGAGATAAATGTATAGAAAAACATGTCTAAAGGAAGAGCAACTTTCATAGCTTTATTATTATTAGCTCAGTATTTTCAGTATTACTCTTGTTATTTTATGCTAGCAATTTTTTTTTGGTAAAGGTCCAGATAGTAAAAATTTTAGGCTTGTGGGTCACATATGATCTTCTTGCATATCGTATTCATATTCTTTTTGCTTTTAAAAAAAAAACGACACCAAGCTACTCTTTAAAATATGTAGAACAATTTCTACCTCACTGGAAGCACAAAAAACAGTCTCTGAGCTATCTATTGCCTACCCCTGTTTTATGGGTACACATTATTAAGTTGTATATTCTGCCCCTGATACACTAAGCACCCTAACTACTCACTTTCGGCCTGAAATTTCAGTGGAAGAATGGTGCAGTTCTCACACAGCTTGTAAATGATTAGGCTCAGCGTAAGACAGCAGAAACAAGAAAGCAGATTATGATCAACAGCAATCTTGGCAACCAGTTCTTAATATCTGGCATTTAAAAAAATTTTCCATGACTAAAACAAGGAAGTTGCATCACTTCTCCAAGGTCTACATAGACATTTAAAGATTTATTTCAAAACAAAACTGTAGAACAGTATCAATGGACAGGGTTTAGAAAGCATGGGCTGTGCCTATTGTGATTTCTGACAGGGACCCCGCTAACTGTCACTGCTAGATAGGGACACAATACAGACATCATGTAGGACAGAGTTTTAAGTATCTACGCTCCAGAAGGAATACGTGTTCTTCCTGCTAAGCGGTCAGTTAATCAGGTGCTGTCAGCTCCCAAGGCAAGAAAGAGAACCCTCTCTGCAAATGAATCCTGTTAACTTTGTTTCTTTACATTTTATTATTTGACTTTAATTTTTATTAGTCCATGTTTGCAGTGCATAATGATTATATTCCTCTTGGGGAGCTGGTACATGTTCCTTATACATGTGAATTTTTTTTTTTTTTACTTCCCCTACTCTGCTCTCCCATTTAAAAGCTGATTATTTTCTGCACACGGAGAGTGTAAGGACCTAATAAGAATGCTTCTGTTTCTCAAGAGCCAACCTCAAAATAATTCTAGGTGCTGTAGCAATACTTTCGGACACCACCACCTCTCTAGGAAAAGAGCTGATGGTTGCAGCAGACTGGATGCCCGGTCAGGTCTCGATCTTATCTTGCGTTTCCCACCTCCCCAGAAGAGTCTCCTTTTATATGGCACAAGCCCTCTGGACTGAACAGCAACTTTTCTCTTAGTGGATAGTGGAGCTGAGAGAAAAGAGACCAGCAACGACAGGGAAGGCCAGGATCCACACACAGACAGGACAGCCCTCCCCAGCGAGCACAATGGCCTAATCGCCACCACCCTGCCAAGCCAGGGTGAGCACAGAGGCCCTTCATTGTCTGACCTCAATCACCAAAGGGGGAAGGAAAAAAACAGGGTTGAGGTCATCCACTAAACACTGCTAAGGCCCACAGGCAAGTCTGAGCCTCCCAGTCCTGAATGATGTATTTTTCCATATAGACTATAAAAAATGCATTTATTCTGCAATGAATCTGAAAGATATATTTTATTTTTTTTTCTTTTAGAAATAAAAGGAGGAAAATACTAACAGACAGACAACATTTTACAAAATAGCAAAGGATCAGTACAGACATTACAGAGTTACAAACAGAGTGGTAGGGAATTAACAATGCTTATTGTATTACATATTGATATCTTCAATGTAGTTTCTCATGAAAACACATATAGACATACAAAGCTAATCAACCAATGCCTCACTGACAGTTTCTTTCAGCAAGGAAATACAAGACAGTAGAAAAGCCATGTTAACTATCCTGCATATACATATATACAAACTTTCTCCTTCTTTCCCTTCTCTTTTCCCATATCCCAGTTACCCTTTACCTTTGAGTGCTTTCCTATCAATTCACAATGTCTATCATATCTCCTAGTTTAAATTAACTCTGAAAGATATATTTTAAATGCATAAACAAACAAAGAACAACAGATAAGAGCACTATAGTTTTTGATGGATAAAATGTGACTATTTCTATCAAGTTACTAAAAAAAAATTCCACATACAAGTACTGTGGCTTTGTCAAAAGGCAGTGGCATCATACATACTCTTTTTAGGGCACATTTATATTCTTATAAATAGAGGATGTTGTAGCTGGGCGTGGTGGTGCACACCTGTAATCCCAGCATTTGGGAGGCTGAGGCAGGAGGACTGTTAAGAGTTTGAGGTCAGCCTGGGCTACCAACTGCGTTCAAGGGCAGCCTAAACTGCATAGTGAGACCTTGTCCAAAAAGAGCCCCCGCCCAAAAAAAAACAGGATCTAGAATGTGGTATGTTCACTAGATAAATACAATAAAAACACAAATTCCTCTCAAAACTGTGTACTCTGTAAGTAGATTTTCCTTTCTATCTTACCTTTCCCACCAGAATTCTGAAAATTCAAAAATGAAAATGCAGTCAATCATTAAATCAGTGACTTTAGCTAAAGGTTCCCTCTGACTTGGCTCTGGGAACCAACCGGATAGTTTGGTATCTAATTAAGACTCTCAGTATGCACTGTTTCTATGCAGAAGGTAGGCGGCTGCTGGAGACTACCGCAAAATAAACAAAGGTAAGGTGAGAAATCGAAGTAATATAAATTGAGTCATACCCGGCTCTAAGAAATCTCTCTGTACACGCAATGCTAATCATATGCGAGAAGATGCCTTTTGCAAAAGGGAAGAAGATGAAGAGATCGGGGGTAGAAAAGGGAAACGGAATGAAAAAAGAATTAAGTTATGCTATGTACATGGACTAACTCCCCATGAAGAATAAAATGATTACATACTGCATACGTGTACTAATAAAAATTTTTAAAATACGCAGATTGGCAAGAACATCAAGTAACTTCATAAAAAACAAAAGGGGGGTTTTGGAGAGCACTGCTTCCTGTCCCATCTCCTAAGGCAGCCTTGCCCCAGGCCCTGGCTGGCTCCTGAGGCTGGCAAGTTCTTCTGGCTTGATGGTCTCATGAGCTCCCTCCTGTGGTTTTGCACGGTCCCTGCTTAGTTATTTGGACATCTAAGTTGACACAAGTCTGAAGGGCCTTTTTCTACCTACAGAAGTGCAAGCTCTATCTTTCTACTGGACACAGGCCTGTTACAGTGACCAGAAAGCCTTCACCTTCTTCCCATAACAGCCACTGTTAAAGCTGAGGGATGAGGAAGCCAAACACTGAGTCTGGTTTCTTTTCATTGTCTTAACCTCCAGCCCCAACTTACACTCTTCTGGATGTTGCAGTAAGTATTGCCATAAAGAAGGCACAGTATAGGGAAGAAGATCGAAAGGATGCAGTTAACAATTCTGTTTTCCCATACGAATGACATTCCATCCACAGTGTGGCATCGTTTAACTTGTCAGCAAGGTGATGGACTTATGAATGGATTTATTTGTAAGTTCTCTTAGTCACGTGACTAGTATCCAGTCAGAAATGAATATGAGGCCATGGAAAAGCAAAATTACCCTCTAAGTCATGAATACAAGAGGCAATGGGAGAACTGAAAATCGGGATGGCTAAAACAATATAATAATGACACAGTCCAAAAGAGGAAAACAGATGAGTTTCACTGCAGACACAGCTTTCAAAATACAGGAAAACTTAGTATGACCATAAGCAAAAACGCTTGAATAAGCAGGCAGTACTACAAATTAAGGGCATACTTAGCAAAAACCCTGACTAGCTGAAATGGTTAAGGCTACTTTTACACTTCTAGAGTTTTATTTCAAGTTCTTTTCCTATAAACAGAATCATGGTAACTCCATGTTAATGTCTCTCTTTCCTGAACTGATATAGCATTCACCACACCTCACACATTTAGGCACTTAATTACTTATAGGCATAGCTTCTACATTTTATTACTTTTAAATTTCACATTTCCCTCCCAGGAAAACAAAAAGCTAATTTTTCCTCTTCTTGGGTCCTGTTGAAGTTGTTATTGAGATTGTATGCTGTATCTTAATAGCATTCCCTTCTCCCATTTCTACTCTATAATGTCCAAAATCTTTTCAGAAAGCAAATGTTTAAATACATTAGCATGTTTTCAAGATATTTTCAACTCATGCGCGCTTTAATCAACTATAGTTCCATTGGGTACTCACTTCTCCAACTATTCTATGCATTTCCTAATGTAGGGAAGTAATTTTAAGAGTTCTGTACCTAGTCTGTAAATTCCAACCTACATTTTAGCTTTAGTTTTTCAATTATCCCCGAAACTCATCTAAACCTATCCTAAATGTTGCATCCTAACAAACACAAAGATAATCCTTCACTGTCCAAATAGTTTTAGAATGAAAATGTCTCTCCGGAACTTTAATTTGCATACTTTCTCAGGAAGGCGGTGAACATAAAGAGGGGATTTATACATCTTACTGTAAACTTGCCTTCGGTTATGCTTATCCAACAGTACTAACACTCTTATGAAACATACAGTTTCTGTTTGCACTGCTATCCCAAAGGGTCTGTTACTCTGGTAAATCATATCAGTAGAAACTATTTTTTAAGCATATCTCTAATCCCCCAAGTCATGGGAGTGGTGAGAGTAAATAACTCTATAAATGTTGTTTGTGTTATTAATCTTTAGATTTTTTTCAAACGTTCCAACTTAACATGAAAAACATATGAATACTGAGCCCAGCCTGTGAAAGAAATTTAACAATCATTTCTGAAAAAATAAAGTTGTTGAGGACCATCTGAACTGTACTAAAGAATCTTGGGATTTCAGAGCTAAGAGGAACTTCATTGGCCACTGGTCCATAAGAAAACTGGGCAAAGGCATTCTCCACCTTTAATCTGTGAGAGGTGTCAACAATCGCAGCTGTCACATGTTCTCACGATAACTTCCACTAAAAATTGACCTTCCACGGAGGTCAACATACAAGGGAAAAGAAAGAAAACCCCTACTTTTTGGTAGATTGGTCAATATCCTAAACATCCTTCTAAGGACGTGTCCTGGGTGATTTTCCCATTTAAATACTGGGCAAGATGGGCAAAATCCGAATTCACTTACAGAACTAGCTTAATACAGTGATTCTCCGCACATTAGAATTACCTGGGGAACTTTAAAAAAATTTCCATACCGACTAGAAATTCGGACTGAATTGATCTGAGATATGGGCCCAGGCATCGGGATTCTTAACGACCATCCTGTGATTCAGAAGCACAACAGAGTTGAGAGCCTTTAGGACTAGTCTCTTCTAACAATTAACCTGCAAAGACTTGGAATCTCCTAAGCCCGAGGCCCCACTTTTCGCCGCGCGGGAATGGTGATTACAACAACGTGACCACTACTAAGATATCTCCTCTCCCTGCCTCAGAAGAGGCCAGGCCTCAGGCTGCCGGCTCCTTCCTTACTCCCGAAAAGAAACCCAGCCGTCCCCAAAATCACCTCGTGGGCACGCCGCTTCCTGATCTTGGACCGTGGGAGAGCAGGGTCTAAGTTTTCCACGGGGAGACAGGGATAGCGGGGAGGGTGGGGGGATGCGGTTGCTCGGGTAACTAGAAACACACTTCCGGTATGGGCCCACGTGACTGCAGGACGCCGGAAGTCCTGCCTGACGCCATGACGTCACGTCCGCGTAGAGGGTTACGCAACGCTGAAGGCAGGTCTGGGAAATCGGAGCGTGGGGCGGAGCGTGGGGCGGAGCTTGACCTTATACCAGGAAGTGACTGCTGGGTCCTGCTAGGCACTGGGGCGTGGGCTGGTGCTGGGACCCTAGGCAGTGGAACCTGCACTCATGGGTGTGGCAGGACAGGAAGGCGAGGGTTGCTTTTGCTTTTAACTTTTTACTCTGCCCTCAACTGTTCCCTTGTCTTTATTCTGTCGGTTTCTTCCTTTCTACTTTGTTTTGTTAACCAAAACGGAGAGTGCAGACCGCCTATACTTTGAAAATAGATTGACTCTGTTCTGAGTTTGAGTGTGATTTCAGTGTTTAGTTTGTTTAACCTCCTCAGCCTGGTGTTTTTCATCCCTGAGATGTTTATAACCTAATGTATGATGTGCTTTGTAGCGGACAAAAATAGTACCTATTAATATTTTTGTCATAATAATCATTAGCAACATCTGTCCTTTTAATGTTGCAAGAGTCTTTAATAACCAAACATAAACCACTAGAAGTTTAAGTGGCACATCTTTTTTTGGGTTACTTGGCAAAATGTGGCGAGCTTTAAAGAGGCTGCATACTTTGTGGGAATTTCTTTCAGGGAAAAATAGGCATGACCCAGATGTTTATTGGAGAGTTATTCTACAAAGAAAATTTGAAAACAATGCTCAACAAGAGAAAATAGCTAAAACAATTAGTACCCGTGGTGGCACATTATTACCACCTTTTTCCTATACTATAGAAGCATCAAAATAGCACAGAAGTATATATTTTATACAAATATGTACTAGATACTAGGTGTCAAATACTATTCTATATCTGTATTGTCCATTGTGGTGGACCCTAGCGAAAGTGTCTGTGAGAACTGACATGCTGTCAAGGTGAATTACACACTGACTCATGAAATAGTATGAAAAAATATAAAACATCTCATATTTTAAAACCTTAGGGAAGGACTGTTTAGGTTAAGCTATTGCAATTAGTTTCATTATTATATTTTTACCTTATTAATGCAGCCACTTGAACATTTAAAATTCTATGTGTGGCATATCTTTTATTCTATGTGGGAGTGGTATTTCCTGGATATACAGTGGTGAACAAGAGTTTTTGACTTTATAGATAAGATTGTTGGCTAGAGCAGAGATAATAAATGAAATAGTACAATTTTATGTTATGGTAACTGATATAAAAAAAATGTAGTAGAATAAGAGCCCCAAACTCTGTATACTGAGGGGGATTATTGTATTTTATTTTGCATTGTTATAAAACTCAAAGCTTTCATGCATATATACCTGTGATACACAATGAATGTATTCACCATGGTATGTAGTACATCTTGTACTGCCCCTTCTCCTTGCCTCGCTGCCGTTTCTCCCCATCCTTAGATCCCACTCCCATCTCCACAAAGTCTATTTCCCCGTTTCCTACCTTTGAGAGGGTTATTTTAGATACAATTGTCCCTTCACTGTTCAGAAAGGATATGTGGTGGGGAATGAGTCATCTCTGGATAGAAGAGGACGGTAGGAGTGTGTGTCTTCTGGAAAAGTCGGGTGTGTGTTGAGGTTGGTAAGTCAGTTGGGGTATGGCAGAGTCTTTGCCTCAGGGAAGAAACCGGCATCATGAGAGGAAGAAGAGGGGTCTGATAAAAGGGAGAAAGAGATGAGGGAACCCACGGGAAATGAACAAGACAAGGTTCAAATAGGTGTATTTTGAAGAAGCAGCAGTTACTGGAATACTATGAAAAAATATACACATATACATATGCACAAAGTATATGTATATATATATATACAGTATATATATAGTATATAGTATATATATGTATTTAAAACTTTTATTTTTATTAGTACATGTTTGCAGTGCATAATGATTACATTCTTTGTGGGGAGTTAGTACATGGACATAACACATTTTGATTCTTTTTACTTCTCCTTCCCCTCCTCTCTTCCCCTCCCTCCTCCATCCATCTCTTGCATATTATTGTACTACCTAGGATATCTCTGTTACTTGGCTGTAGTCCCAGAGACTCAGAAGAAGAGTGGCTCAAACGCTTGAGAAGTATATTTCCATCTCTCTTGGCAGTCTGCGTGTAAGGAGGCCAGAGTAGTATGGCAGGCTCATGGGACTAGAGACTCAAATTCTGCCTATCTTGTTGCTCCACCTCACCTGGTTCCTTGTCTTGGCTCGCATGGTCCAAGATGACACACCACTGCTCTTCTGTCCCAGCCAATGGGAGGGGGTGAAGCAGAAGCAGGAGCATTAGCGTTCCCTCTAAAGTAGAGTTTCTATACCTTGGCACTGTTCACATGTGGGGCTGGATAATTGTGTGTTCTGAAGGTTGTCCTATCACCGTAAGATATTTACCAGCATCCCTCACCTCTACTCATTAGACGCCAGTAGCACGCCCTAGTTCTGACAAGTAAAAATGTCCCTATGTATTGGCAATGTCAGCTGAGGGTACTCACCCCCCAGTTGAGAAACATTGCCTTAGGAGTTGCCAGCACTTGTGCTCATATCTTACTAGAGGTCTGAATGTCATTACTTGGCCGTCCTATGGGTAAAGGAACCGAATTTTGAAAATGATGACCAGGTGCCCAGCCAAAGTTAGCTAAGGAAGACAAGATGCTAGCAGATTCTCCACTTCTGTTGCTACAGAAAATGGAAAGTCTGTTGCTGATTGAGGAGTTGGCTCTATTCTTTTCATCTTCCAGGCTGTTTTAGTCATTATTCATGTTAACTTACTTGCATAAAAATTCTGGTGGTGGGGAAGTCTAAGCACCCAAAAGATGAGACCCCTATTTGGAAAGGTTGGCTATAATTTTTCCAGAGGGTGACAAAGTAGAGAAACTGGGTTCTGAAATGGAGGCTGACTGATGTTGGATTGTTACTTGTGTTTTAGCACCACCTGCTGGGAAGTGAGAAATGCTGCTATTCCTCACTTTTGTATGATATTTTCTTTTATTTGTCCCATGCTTAAACACTAAATTTTAAATAATCCTTAGATGGAGTACAGTGAAACTTGAAAAGGTCCTTTCAAATGAGGAATTCTTTAAAATGTGATTTCTCGCTGGGCGTGCTGGCACACGCCTGTAATCCCAGCACTTGGGAGGCTGAGACAGGAGGATCATTGTGAGTTTGAGACCAACCTGGGCTACAAAGTGAGCACAAGGCCAGCCTGAACTGCATAGCGAGACCCTGGCTCAAAAAGACCAAAAATTTGATTTTTCCTCTTCGACACTATGCTATTTGGGGCTGGATGATTCTTCATAGTGGAGGCTGCCCTCTGCATTGTAGGGTATTTAGAGGCACGCCTGGCCTCCAGTCACTGCCCACACTCCAATTTGTGACAATCAAATATGTGCCCTAAGGACCCTGCATGTGAGAACAAAGTTGCCCTGGGCTGAGACTCACTCCTTTCAACAAAGCATCTAAAGTCCCTTGGTCTGCTAAGGTAGTACAGTATGCACAGTAGTCTGGTATCAGTTTCCTGGAAGTGATGTGCTAGTGAGAAGGATGGGGAGAAAAGCTTGGGAGGAAATGAAGGTGCAGATGCAGCAGGACATGTCTTCTTTTTATGCTTTGCCGACCTTTGCTCCTGTTCCTCCCAAATTATAGGAGATAAAATTTAGAGGACTGTGAAAGGCAATGAAATCACATATACTAAGGAAATCGACAGAGGCTGGTACCCAACACAGGAAAGAGCACAGAATATCCCAAACTCTATACCTAAGTTTCTCCTCAAGAGTGTACTGAGCCAGATAATCCTGCCAGATGTGGGAAGCCATAGCTAATCTCACGGGCTTTTGGATCTGCCCTCAGCCCTGCTTATGGCCCATCTGCCACCTGAGTATTGTATAGAAAGTGGTTGGGAGCCAGTTCCCTCGCCTGGGCTGAGTAAGTGGCCCCAAACCGCCTGCAAACAGTCCTCAGTTCTTACTTCAAACCTGGCTACAGAAAAGGGCAGTTTTCCAGGACCACCGTTCAGCAGGCCCTCACTTCAGGCCCCTTCTCAGGTCCTCTCCTGTGATTTCTCTTGGATTTCACCTTCTCGAGCCCCTGACCCACCAACCACTCTTTCAGAAGATAATCCCACCTTTTACTGATGAGGAAGACCAGGCACACATTTCATCATTTTGAAATGTGTCGCCGTTTTAACTCTGCACTCATTGTACCTTTCATTTCGGTGGAGGAGGTAGCTCTGCTTTTGCCCAGGCCAATTCAATCATGTTATTCCCAGGATTGTATCCCCGACCCTCACAGGCACCGCATTCTCAGTTATGTACGTCCTCTGTCATCACCTCTGTCTTTTCTGGTCCTTCTCCATCCAACTGATTCAGATGCTCTGACCTTAAAAAACTTGGGTTGTTCTTTCATGCCCCTCTGCTTACTGTTCTCTTTTTGGTCATGCTTCTGTAAGAAGTGGACTACCTTTATTTCTTTCCTTCTTTTTTCTCATCCTGATACAGGAAAATAAAAACTCCAAACCTGAATGATATCTGGGACGAGTTTGTGTTCTCTAAAATCGAAGAATGAATTTTAGGAACAACAGGGGTTAAGAGCAGAATATATTTACTGGGGAAAGAAAAGAAAGCTTCTGTCCAAGAGAGGGACAGAAGGGGGGCCCGAGTGGGTTACCCCAGGACTGTGTCTTTTTTTTTTTTTTTTTTTTT